AGAGAGAGAGCGTGGGCGGGACCTACGCGTCGAGGCAGACTCACGGAAGGCGCAAAGCTGTGATACTCGTCCAACACGCTTTCGAAGCTGCCAGTGCGACTCAAAGTCGGCCTTGCGCTTTGATCTTTCTCGGTAGGGCTACCGGGCAAGCTGGAAGGCTGACTTTGCCTGCCCGAACGTGCTGGTCGAGCATGCCTGATCATAATGTCGTTCGTCTCGTCCGTCATTTTCACATCCCAATCTCCTCCCCATTCGGTCAAGAGGTGGTCTGGCTCGAAGTGCTCAGCTGCCATTTCGGCGTTGCTGGGGAAGAAGATGCGAGCGAGGGCTTCTTTCGGAAGGACTCGCTTGGCAAGGCCCCACATGCCGCTGTGCACCCAGCCATAGTGCATCATGTAGATGGCGCCGACCATGCCAGGGAAATGATTCTTGAGCAGGTCCAACAGGAAGGGCAGCAGCTCCATCTCTAAATTTGCGATGCCACTCGATTTGAGGGAGATGGCGATGACCATTTGAAGTGGCGGTACGGCCTCCGGAACCGCAAAACCATCATCAATTTCCTGCTGATTTCTGGCTATTTGCAGCGCATTGCGGCTCCCCTTGCCCTTTCGATCTTGTCTGTAGCGCGCATAGTCCTCTGCGAGCTGCCTGCGAATGCACTCCATGCAAGCAACAATGTACTCCCGAACCTCGTTCAGACCATCCACGTCGGCACGTTCCAGAGAGCGCAGATTGATGACGCCGCATGGTCTCTTGTATCTGTCCCTGAAGCGCGTATTGGCCCAGAACAGCGGCGGCCTTCCTGCAGGAGGGGCAACGAAGATGGGATGCAGCGAAGACAGATTCAACGCTGGCAGGTCTGTTCGTATCCGCCAAAGAAGTGATCCTGTGAGCAGAGAGAGGGCGCCTTCCTGCGAGAAGCGGGCCCGACGAAAGAAGCGGAACAGAGTCGCTGCGCAGAAGTTGATAGAGTAGGCATCGGATCGGCGTGAGCTCCACCACTTCATAGCAGCGCTGGCCTTCGGCCTTGACTGTAGCCGCACCACTCACCTCGATCGCTTAGAAAGCGACGCGCCTCCTCCCTGGCATCATCGCCCAGCTGCAGCTCCTCAGCAATAGCGTCCGGAAGCTGTTCGAGGGCAGTCGCTTGCAGCCCGTCGATCTCCTCTGCGTGACT